AATCATGCTAGCTGCTGATCACTACATGTAAAAACAAAAACATGCCTAGAAGCTAGAATAAAAATAACAACTCTAGTTAGCTAAGACCCAAAAGAAAGGACCTTCTAATGTCTTCAGCTTTCACTAGAGACCAGTTCACAATAGGCAGCAGTTATAATTTTAGAGTGCATATCCTTATCAATTTGAAATGTGTCTAGTACTACTTGCTGTATTGATTATTATGCAGAGCACCCAGCAAAAAAACCCTAATCTTTTAATGTGGCAGAACAATCCAATGAATGATTATGTCTTTCAGATGTTATTCTGTATAAAAAACAGCTGCTGAATCACCACAATCTTCCAATTATGTGTCTTAAATATTATACATAGCTATCTTTATTGAAATACATGTAAAATAAACATTTTATCCCTCAAACAGAGAATAATATGCCATTTCCAAAACAATATGCCTCTCCTTTATCACGTTGATGTGTATTGCTGAGGGGATGTGAACAATTTTACGTGCATACCATATATGTATATTATTTATAACACTGAAATATAGAATAATAAATAAAAGCATAGAAGAACTGTAAGGTATTTTTACATTGAAGTGAGATGATGTAGTATAGTGGTTAGAGTGGTTGTCTTATGGCAGGGGTTAAAATCCCCGCTATGGTCATGGTTATTGTACTTATTACTCCATTTGTTCCAGTCCACCAGGCTGCACAAATATCTACTAGTGTGAATTGGGAATTGCCCTGAAATGGAGTGGGATCCCCTCCAGAGGGGAGATGCATACTCTCTGTCTGCATCACACTACAAAACCAGGATAAGCTCAAGTATAATGTGCCTTTAGGATGTGTATGGATTGCTTGTCTTTAGTCTGAAGAATAGTTATCAAAATATTCAATTACATTGCCGAGCAATTACATGGTAAAAACATGAAAACCATTTCTTATAGCTCTTAATGTTTATTATTTCACAAAAAAAAAAACGTTTTATTGCTGTTGTGTATGACATTTAGTTAATATGGTATGAAACAAGCTTTGCAAGTTTAATGCAAGCCATACGTTGTAATTAAGTTGTACTCTTTCTTTTTGTTTTTCAGGGCGGGCAAAATGTACGGCTGTTGTAACCTCTGGTAAAGCTTCCAGAAAACATACTTCAAGTTTATTACTGTCCTTCCATGATGTAAATACAGCTTGCAATTTCCCCTAATGGGCAGTTAAACCATGAACTTTAAAAGAACTCTTTGGACTGGCCTCCTAATTTGGAATTAGTACTGCCTGCATTGAGCCGTGAGGGGATTTGCTATACCAAGGTACAGGGAACTTTGAAAGCACATTCCCTACCATGAGAATTGCGACCACATCCTGCCTCTGTCCTTTTCTGGTCTGCCTCTGCTTTGTTCAGAGGTGCTACGGGACATCTCATCACAGTTCAATAAAAGTGACAAAAAATCAAACCAAACATATAGAAGGAGAGACAGAGGTGCACCATCGGCCAAAACGTGGCTGGGTTTGGAACCAGTTCTTTGTTTTAGAAGAGCACATAGGACCGGACCCTCAATATGTTGGAAAGGTAATATTTGCACATGTTTCTAATATATTGAAATGTTGCTTATTGCTTCATATAAATTCATATGTCAGGAGCACTGAAATGGCAGTCTTGTTTAATTTATTTCAATGTCGGTTTTTTAACACTTACTAATTGGATACTGAGTACAGATGTACTGTATGTGACATGGGTAAAGCTTACTATTGATTGGTGAAACAGAAAAACTGGTATCTTACATTTAGTAATTATAGCAGGAATAAAAGGTGTAGAGTTTACTTCAGGTTGAGGAATGCATTTTAGATTTATATAATGTTTTCATAATAATGCATATAGAAGCAAAATGTTGCATTTGCGTAGATATTCAACAAAATGCCATACTAATGAGGTATATATTAAACAGCAGAACAAACAGAATGCATTTTTATATATATATAGAACATACTGTACATCCTATATCCTATAATCATTTTAATAACTTAATGACTTATCAAAATAAATTGTGGAAGTAGCTTTTATAATGAAGTAAAGATACATATAATTATACATAATTCCATTATTATCTTCTGACACACAGTATGATACAAGAATGTGTGCAGGCAAATAGATAAAAAAAGGTAAGGTGAATTTTCTGTAATAAAGCTTAAAAGGTCATAACAGAAAAACAAGTCTCCCTATCCAGTCAATGTGCATTTGAAGTCAGTCCAATTTGTTTCTTAAGTGAAACAACCTATATTTGCTCTGAAAATGGTTATTTGATCCAAGAGTCTTATTATTGTTAATTATTTCTCATTATTTTGGTTTCTGAATAATTATTTTCAAGTCAGTGTTATTTTAACATACAGTATACGTCTTTTCTTAGGAGAACTAATTCAGCATGGAGAAATATGAATAATTTCTCATTTGTTCCACCAGCTACTGTGTTACAGAAGTTCTTGATTCTGTATATAAAAACTCTTCAGTAATATTTTAAATTTCAAATCAAGCAGAATTTAGACTTATACAGCCTGTAGGGTTAGCACTGTAAATAATTTTAAAAACATTTTTAAAGAAAAGCTACAATTGAAACAGCAGCAAAACAAGAAGTGCTCCCACTACTGCAAATAACACGACTAGACCATAGAAAGTAGCCTAGAGAAGTGCTGGGTTAAAATATTATAACCCAATTTAAAAGGTAAAACTTATAACAAGATTTTGATTATGAGTAATGCAATGTCATGACCTGGACAGTAGTGTAATGAATGTGTTATTCAAAAGGTGAAACCAGTTACAGAAGATAATTACTTTAATAGGGAATTAATCTGGATTTCATCATCTGGAATAAGACGTGGTCTTCAACCAACCTAGTGGTCTACCAAAACCAGTAGTTCTTATATATCAGATATAAGATATATATCAGAGGTCTGAAATGCAATTATATCTATAGCATTTAGATATGTTATGTTTAGCTTCTAAAATCTACAGAGATGTGGTGAAGAGGCTAGTGACATTGACAATTATAAAAATAAGATAGAGGAGAAGTCAAAGATTTACAACAGAAAATATACTTTTTGAAACTGATAATGTACCATATCACCATATTACCATATCAGTATGGAGGTTTCTCCATTATATTTTACTATAATATCATACATGAGAGTGTGTTTCCTCACATGAAAACAGAATGCACTAGACTTAACAGAAAGCTTATTAGGTTTAACCTAAGCTAATGATGTCCCTAATGACAACATATGAAAGTAGACCTCTTAAGCAGAGAAACAAAGGTTGTTTAGAGCAAAGAAAAAGGAATAATATTCTCAGGCCCATTCCTTCTGTTCTTCATATGTTATTTCAGTTATTTTAGACCAGAGGAGTACACAACAAAATCTGCAAGTTATTTTCTTTTGAGGTTTATTCAGCCAGTTACTTCTATAGTAATTATTGTATTTTGAACAGTTTTAGAATAAAACCTCATGTTATTTTATGGGACATACATATGGGTTACATTCTAGACTGAGCAAGGGGAAACACTAATGTGAAGTGTACTACACTTTTGACAAGAAACTGCAAAATACTGAAAATCACATACCACTGAAGGAGAGGGGGTGGGGGAAGAAAGGGTTTTTATACATTTCCTTATTGAACTCAAATCAAATATTGAAAATATAATTATGTCATTAATAATGATATTTACTGAATTTAAAAGAAGTTAGGCTTATAAATAATCTTATGTTAAAATGCTTTTAAATTTTACTCAATTTACTGTTGCAAAAAATGTGCTATATTTAGCACTTTACCTATTTCAAAGCCTTCAAGAAAATCATCATGTTAGCCAGGCAAAGTATAGCAAATGATGATGTTTTTAGAGAACAAGAAAAAATCACAGTTGTTTCTTGCAGTAAAAGCAGTGAAGTGACAAATTAAACTATGTAAGCTGCTGGAAAAAATGTCTCTTGGAGTCATTAATACGTTTACAGTAAATATAACATTTAAGGAAAAAGTATAAATTGTGATGAAGCCAGAGACATAGAAATGGATGTCCAAGTGGGGATTCAGAATATGTAGGGCGAGAGACCTTTGCAAAACATGCAAATCTGAACAAATTGTCTGTTTTCCTTGTACTGTGAAAATGTACAAAGCATGCAAATTTAATGAGGAATAAGATGCAGCAGTACAAACTGAATTAATCAGAAACACAAGTATAAAATGCAGATTTTATATAAGATCCAAAGTAGCAAAATAATGATTTATGTGCCTAATCAGTTATTACATAACATTAAGAAACATGGAAAACAACAATTTGTGCAAGAATTTTCCGGATCATTAGTACAAATACAAATAAAAAACACAAAAAGGCTATTAGAATTATTTTATCACTTAGTAGTACAGTAATAATTTCACTAGTTTCCGCCTATCCCACTCCCTATATAAGTTTATTTTTATGTTTGGAACATATAATTTTGTGTCAATTAGAACATATATTAGTCTATTTTTTGCAATACTGTAACATTGCAGTGTACTGCGATGATCATGGATAGCTGGAACTCCTTGTCTAAAATCTTCTTTTGGCTTACCTTCTTGGCAGTTTATCATTTTTTTCCTAACAACTTTGCTAAGGCCCCATGGTTTCATACCAATGTGTGAAGAAGACTTGGTTAATCAAAGGAAACCCTGTCAGGGAAATATTTTAAATAATCTTCTGAAGCTTCTTCTGAGCCTTACATTGCTTTGGAATACCATTTTCCAAGCACTGGCTCAACAAAGTGGATCGATGATCTCAGCATTTAGACAGTGCTATAGAAAAGTTTAATATTGTATTTGAGAGAACTGAGGCATGGCATAGTACGTTAGAGCTGACATAGATTTGCAGATGTCAGTAGTTTGCAGGTAGACTGCCAATGTGGTTAATTTACAAGGGGATGCAAGAAAACTGGATTGTGACATGATGCATTTATGAAATCAGCAAACTACAACTTAATTTAACAAAACTTGAAGACAGAACCAGATGTAACCATATCAGGATCTGTGGCCTAGTTGGAGATAATCTGGTCATCTTTATTGAAAAAAATGTTTCCTAACCTGATTTCTTCACTTTTTGGTGACTCAGTACTAATTGAACATGCACATAAAACATACAGCAATAACCCTGAGCAGTCATGTAATACAGTCTTTAAGGTGCTTTGCTACGATGGCTGGTGATTCTACAGAGGGTCAGGAAAGTTGGTTCCATCCAGGATAATGGTAAAACTCTTTGATTTTTGCTGACTACAGTGCTGCTTCTGCATGGAAGAAAAGTGCATCTGTTAGAGTTCAATATGAACTACTAGGCTTGGGTGCTACATCTTTTTTAGATTTATAACCAGTAACCCTCTGGGTTTCTTATAACAGAGAAATCTATTTTTCAATACCTAATGAGGCAGAGAACTATCAGAAATCAAAACCAAACATGACTCTATAACTGGAATGCAACTCATCGTTCCACCAAATAAAGGAAGACATTTAGCAGAAGATATGATCACAGAGATGGAGGCCTTGGCTGAACATAACCGATTATTCTGCTGCTCAGACAGGTTCTGCTAACCTGTCCTTGAATTTGCATTGTTTTGCTTGAAGATGTAGTTTCTACCTCTTTTCATTTGTTTGTGTTTTCCTTCACATCCTCAAGTTATGGGAATTACAGGGTAGAAAATGTTAGTGGACAGTACTACATTTTCTTATGTATTTGTTCTCTTCATTGGTACATGTTATTCATAATTTTAAATTTGTCCTCAAACTAGCAAGAGTTCAGTAAATGACCCTGCTATGTTATGACTAACCATGATGGGTTTTATAAGGAACAATAGCTCATTGTTAGCTTCTCAAATTAATAAAAACAATTAAAACTAAAGATTTAGAAAATAAATATGAATAACATAAAAACACACCAAACCAGACCTCTGAAAGGGCACAGCTAAGTGATCTTTTTAAAAGGAGGGCAGAATCTAATAAGTATAGAATTACAGAAAAACATTACTTTTGAGGCAGCAGATTACTTGCACTTAAAATCAAACTGAAAATGCAGCTATTGAAATTCTCACCTTTTGTGGGATTGATTTGTGACCCCAAAGAGATATCTGCAGCTTTTCACTATTATTTGGATCTGTGTAATGCTATTGTACTTTGGATAAGGAAGTTTATGCAATTTTTTTCTCAAAATTGAAATCAGAAAACTTAGGTCATAATTGAACCAATCTGGCTGGACACAGTAAATGCAGCAGTCTAGGAAAGTGCATTTCACCTGAAACCGAACAGAGCCTTGTTGCCTTCAAAAGGAAAGATCCCTCTGGGTACATAAATTATAACCCAATCTCAGTAATTAACTTAGATACAAAATTGTATTCTACATTTTTGGCTTTATGTTTGGAAGTTTATGTGGGGAATTTTATTCATCTGGAACAGCTGAGTTTCATTAAAGGAGATTTTGCTGTAGATATCTGGCACCTGCTTATCATAAATACATTTCTGAAATTAAATACTCCTTGTGCAGTCCTGTCATTAATGTGGGAAAG